TCAAGATTCATCGTTACTTATCACGTTCGGAAGCGGCGAGGCCAAGATACGTAAAGCTGAAGTAAGGAACGACCCAACGCACTGGTGGAAAAAATTAATGATCGGTAGAAAGCTGTTATCACATACTGAGTTGACTAGCTGTGCCAGACGTGCGAGTTTGTTTGCCTCTGCATTCCGCGCTTACAGCAGCGGCAGTCACTTTCGTTAGTGCATGACGAAGCAAAATTCATGCAACTAGCAGTGAAGCAATTTCATTACAATTTCTTTTCTCAGACAATGATGAATGTTACTCTACTGTAATAAGCACAATATTTAAAGTTTGGTAAATGCAAGTTTTCGAGAAGAAACGTGTATGCAAAGGATTAAAGACGGCAAAAAAAGACATTAATTAGGTATAGCTAAATTTTTGCAATTCATCTTCATGAAAAAAAAGGTGAAGATAAAGAAGAAAATTTGGACGATGAATAGTAAGAAGAAGTATGTAAGTAATATCGGAAGGTTGAGTGTCATGGTATTAGCTTTCACCCATTTAAACATTCTTTCGTTCGATACCTTTCGGAGACATTGGTTTAACCAAAAGTAAGTTTAATGAAAGGGGGTCGAGTATTGGGTTCAAAATATAATTCATTTCTAATATCACGTTCTTTTCTTCGTTCTACCGTCAGGAGTCGCCGTCCTCGCGAAAGGTTAGACAGCATGGTTTAAAGATTTTGCCATGCCTTACTTGCAGATTAATGCTGCTACTAATCATCCAGCCTGAATCATTCGCTGTATCCTTATACCCGTCAGATTTGCTTTGAAGCCATTAGGATGTCAGTCTACACCTAGTGACTACCAGGTCTTGTAAGCCAATCGTTTTAGTGTTTGGAAATTTGAAGCCACACTCCCTCCCTCTAGGACAAATACACTCCGCTGTGCTTCCCTGGACATGCGATTCTTCGGTTTATCTCTATGCGCTTACCAAAACGTTCAGTCAGATTTTCGCTTTCTGAAGAGCACTGCATGGAACTCACCCCGTTTCCTACAGGCACATTACTTTTACATTGGCCAGAAAATTCAACTCGTGATAGTGCACTGCCATACAGCATAATGTAGTACAAAGTTTTGTGTCATATGGTGAATATATGTGTATACCATTGCGCAAGGTATCGTAGTTCAATACTCAAATGAGGGCGGGGAAGGACAATGATGCAGTCAGTTAGTTTAGGTTGCTGTGAACGCTAGAGTACGGGTTAAAACGCAGCACGCGGCGTGAATTTCTTTTATTAACGACCAATTTCCTTGAACAAGGAATTCACTCCATCATGCTTCAATGTAACGAGCCAAAAAATGGTAGCAGGCCTTCGGTCTGCAAATAATAGAAAGAGCACGATGCATTTGCATGGTCATGCCAAGTCATGCGAGACATTCAACCATGCAGTCTGACGTGTTTATTTTTTATGGCTTCCATTCCCCTTGAATCACCTGATAAAAAATCAGCACAATGTATATACATAAATTTAAATTGAAAGTTTAAAATTAATTTATGTCAATTTTTGCCGCGAATGGGGTCGAGAGCCAGTCAAAACACCAGGCCTACATGTGACCGAAAGAAGAATTGTATATTCTGCATCATTCTGAAAAGAATACAGAATTATAGTTAGTACTGTTAATGTTCCAGATGAATGGTCCTGTTTCCTTCTTTACTGGTGCAGTTTCGCTTTGCTTTCTCGCATAATATGCTTTCATTCGCAAATTGCTTACTACGCATTTTTGCAATGTGCTACTTCTTGACTTTCGAGTTTGCTACGATACTTTTCTTACACGCGTTCGGCGGCTTAAAGGTTACTTTGAGACTCCTATGTCATACGCTAATTCAAGAGCATCTCTTTTTTTCTCGAACATGATAGCAGGAATATCTCTCTACAGATTTCAGACATGCTTGATTCCATCATAACGGTGTGAAGAGTTTCAGCAATAAGATTATTTTTTTGATCGCGAAGCTCTTCTAGTTCTATTAGTGCGTCATATTTGCTTGCTAGCCAGCAACTGTTCTGTACTGCTTTGTTTTTTCTACTAATGTGCTTAAAACACGCCTAGAAGGATGCAAAGTCTGCTGTGCAACTCATATGAAATGCATTTTCAGCAACTGCAGCCACGATTTCAGTAACATTTCATCTTTTAGATAATTCTGAACCTGACCACTGCATTAAATCTTCTGTCATTTCTTCAACTACTTCATTTCCATCGTACGTTTAGCACCAACAAACATGTTGATACGTTCTCCTCTTTCTAGTTTAAGCATACGTTTTCTGGTAACCTCGTTTGTCTTGGAACAGTTTTCCTAGATTAACACCACTGACATACCAACTCTAGTCAATTGTAGCCATTTTTACTTTGCTTCCTGCAAATTTTTTTCGCGTACTAGCTTTTCTTCACTTTCTTATTTGGGTGAAATTTGCTATAAGAGCATCGCGCAGTCTGCTTTCTCCGCTGCTTTGCTGCTGACTGCGGCATTAGTCGTCTTCTAGTCGATCTTCGACAGCGTCCAACCGTAATCATGTTCTTGCAACCCTAACCACCAGAAAACGAGAGGCAGATTGTGATCGCCGATTTTTCGCAGCCCGCCTCAGTTTCCCCAAACAGTCTGCGCGTTTTGTAACCTAGGCGACAGCTGAAACGTCATAGCGTTCGAT